GAAATGATAGCTTCTTCTTTGTTCCTGCCGGTAGACTATCGATTCGCTCGACTGTTCGCGAGCGAAGATACGGGATCGCGCGCGTACATTCCTTTCGTCGTATCTCGATACCGGAAATGTATTCTCCCATCTCGACGCGCGCGCGGCAAAATAAACGTACCCGGCCAGCAACGTTTTTACACCTTCCAACGCGGCACGAAAAAGAAATGAAACGCGGTCGCATAAAGGACGGATCGACGTCGAGAAAGTTCGCGTGCCCGTGTTCGGTTGCCGCTTCGATACTCGCGCCGCGTCTATGGATCTCCTCCGGCGGAGAAAGAACGACGAACCGTGCTACCTCGAAAGGAGGAAAAAAAATCGTTCGAATGCAACTGCTTTCAGCCATGCAAGCGCTCGTTCGAACGTGCACCAGCGGCTTTTCGTCGACGTTCCCGGCAACGTTACACGGCTGCCGTTCGTTAATCGTTCGAGATTCACCGGGAAACCTCGCCCGCGTTTCTCTACCGGCGATCGACGAAAGGGGGTTCGGAAAATTCGAAACGCGCAGCGTCCCCGTAATCGGAGCAGCCCGAGCGAAGCAGCGGGAGCATTGCAAACCAAAATACATTAGCTCGGATAATGCGGCAGACAATAATAATAATTATTCGCCTCGCGGTGCTCGTAATTGCAGTGTAACTCGTGATTCCGCGATGTCCGCCGCATGCACGAAGTTTGCCGGCGTTCGCCGGTGTTCGCCGCGAGCGCGGAAACTTCGTTCGTAACGCGGTTACGCGGAGCATCCCCCTCGCCGATCCCGGCGAGAAGGCGCAAATAAATGAATTCCTGTCAAACGAGCCTCCGGACGCGTAAACCGCCTCCATTCGGCTCCCCCGAATATTCCGAATCCCTTGCCTCCGGCGAGCGACGTAGCCAAGTTCCAGCATGGCCACGATGCCAGCGTACCTCGGTCTTTCTCTCGTTCGGCCGTTAACTGGCTGCATCTCGCGCGATAACACCCAGATTATCGCTCGGACGGTTAGGGGTGGCTCTGTATCCGAGCTCGTTTTACAACTACGAGCAACGCGGAAAGTTGGCGGATGGTAAACGGTAACGAGGCGGTCAGAGACGCGGTTCGCACTGCGAAGAGCTGTCGGACGATCGCGATACCTTCGATAAGGCGTTTCATTGAAACGTCGATTAGCCTGTCGCCGGAGGGAGCAATGAAAAATCGGACGAAGCGCGCGGACTCGCTTTTAATTATCTTTTTCCGATGCTTCGCGCGGCGGTTTCGAGTTAATCCCTGCTTTCCCGTCTTTCGGGAGCTTGCTCCCAGATCGCTGGTTGATTTTTGCCTCGGTAAACGGCGAACCTGGCAACGTACGATAGAAACGCGTCGCGCGACGGAGTTTCCCGCGGCAGGAAGATCGCTGCGCCGCACCGAAAATATTTGTAACGGAGTCGTTAATTATACCGCGGAATCAAAGTTTATTTAATTGTATTAATTATGCAGCAAACGTTGCGGCGGGTGTGCCTCGGCGGGCGCGGGATCGTCGCCGCTGAACCCGAGATTATCCGAAATCTGAGCAACACGCCAACCGCTACTTCGTAAGTTCAACCGTAGCCGAGCTCTGTTTATTCGCCCAAGATCGCCCGCCTAACGCTAAGCACACCCGAATCCGCAGCCGCCGCGTAAGAAAGTTTCGCGAACCGAGCGAATTATCGCTTCCGATTTTCGCGACCCGCCGAGCGAACGTTCTGTTGCCCGGATTTAAGGATTCCCGTCGATCTCGTCGGGGGACGACTGTATTAGGAACTGGCTGGCCGAATCGGCCCGAGATAAATGGGACGCGTAACGAGGCAAAAACAGAGATAATTGAGACGACGCTCGCGTACACCGTCTTGGCGGGTATTCAAGAACCGGCGGGGGCGAGGGGCGTAACACCGTCTTGGCCATCGAGCCCATCGACATAAAGGAGGATTTTCAATTAAGATATAGCGGTTGCCGCGACGGATGGGTTGGAAACGGGAGGAGGGGCGCGTCGGCTCCGCAGAGCTGCTCGGGCGCAACCCCGTCGTCCGAACTGCGGAAGGGGAAAAGAGACCGGCAAAAAAAAGCTTAGCTTAACGCGTCGAGGGTGTAGATTAACTGACACGGCTCGCACGCGACTCGGCCGGCAATGGGAAACGATGCTTAGCTACTCGAGGAGTCTGCCGTCTACGTCCTCTCCGGATCCGCGCAGCTCCGCCCGAGGGTCTATCACAATGGACCAGCCGTAAGTTGCGCGCCACCCTCTTCATCCTTTAGTCGAGATTAGTGGTTGCATTACCCTGTCATTCGTTTCAACTCTCCGCCGGTGTAGTACCTTTGCTTGCACGTCCGCGCACGTTTCTCCGTTCTCTCCTTTCCCTTTCCTTCCTTCTCTCCGCTCGCTGGTAGACTTCGAAAATTTCCGCTCGAATTTCGAAGCTCTGTCGCGCAAAAAATACGCGTATTTACACGATCGACGCGACAGTAGGGAGGGACGCGCGGCGACGTGCCCTCGCAAATCTACCGGTTCTTTTTTTCCGCAGCGGTTCTCCCATTCGTATTCATGCGCCCTTTTCATCCGCTTTGTCTTCTTTTCCCTCCGCGCGGAGGATCGTGTTCCGGCTTCTTGCTCCTCCCTTTTTACGCTGCATTTCTTCATTACGTCCATCTTCGTTTCCCTCTGTATACGGAGTTACGTCGCGGAGCTTGCGCGAAACGAAGCGCGTGCGAAAATTTCTCGGGCCGCTTTAATTTCGAATGATAATCGAATGAGCGGGCAGATATCGTTCAACGAGCGTCGCGCGCTCCGCGTGGAAAAAGCGACGAACATATTGGAGATATTGTTTGTTATAGTATGGTAATTTTACGAACTCCGTCGGGGTTTCGTTTGGATCGCGCGAATATTTGCTCGTCCGCGGGGCGCAGTAGAGCCGAGACCGCAATGTTCTCTCGGCAGCTTCCTTCGGAGGTAGCGGAGGTTAATTAAACGAAATCACGAAACTCTCCAGCTCGGGATCTCGGGACGCTAAAGGTATCGAGAGGATCTCGGAACGATTCCGCGAACCGAGCCAAACAGAGATAGGGATTGCACAGTGGACACATTAACGGGCTCTTTGATACAGGCGAGGACGCCGCATTGTTCTCGATAAGATCTACATTGTTAATCCCACGGATTAATCGGAGAGACTACACCGATGTCTTTCCGACGCGTCCTCAAGGAACTTCGCGGCGAGATAAATCCGTATTCCCGGGTTCTTCCCGACCGGTTCGCCTGTTCAAAGATTAAGTGTTCAATGTATTAGAAACACTCGCGGAACCTCGTACATTCCGAGTCGCGGTGAAGCGATCGAAAAGAATGCTTGATAATTAACAGAAACTATTCAGCGTTATCCATACGCGACGGAAACGCGCGGGGATAATGGGAGAATTTTAAAACGAAGTATTCCCGAGAACAGAGAGAAAGTTCAATACATTGTAGACAGTTTCCGAGTACCCGGTGAATTACCGGGGACGCGATTGTTCCCCCGATTCGTTTCGAACCCATTTTCTTGCGAGGTAGAACGGGGAACGATTACCGAACGCGGTGCTGCACCGAATTGGTTGGCTGTTCCATTGTAATTGGGAGATTAATCGTGTCAGTGACGATTCTATTTCCTCGGGAGCGCCGCTGGTAGAACGCCGGAAGAGGAAACAAAGTGGTTTGGCGTGTCGGGGGATCGCGTGGAATGAAGATCGCAAATAATAGAGACACGTAGCTTTTCTTCCCTACAATTAATACCGGCTTGTCCAAAGCGAACCGAATTGTTCCCGGCCGAGATACCGAAACAAAACGAGCCAGCCAATGGAAAAGGCTTGTCGGCGGGGGAACGACAAAAAGGCCGGGTTCTTACACCCGGGGACCACCTCGACTCTTGGCAATCCTGATCTACAGGATTTCTCCATTGCACCTCTCAACGTTCAGGGAATAACAACGGTTCTGTTCGCCGGTGATCTTCGGGCCGTTGCTTTCACGATTGAAGCGTATAATTCGCAAAGGGCAACCGGCAGGGAATCGGGACGAACGTAAGGTGCGTGCAAACCATCGACGCTACATACTTGCACATGCGTTAACAACCATCGCGACTCTTTTATGCACAATGGAATCCGATGTGACCTAGTATTCGAAATGATTCCAAGAGAGTCGAAGCAGGTTTTATTCTCCGAGCAGTCGAAAATATATTTTCAAGGACTCTTCGCTGATTAACATCGTTCTATTCACTTCTCCTTTGACGTGCCCGAGCTTTAATGTTAACGCACCCGAAGCCGGGCAAGGTACAAAGCGTGATTGTGCCGAGGTGAAACGAGAAACAAATTTTTTTATCGTTTCCACCTTCGCGGTTTTGTCGCGCTAGATCGCGTGCCGCGTATTCGCGATTACGTTAATTACAAAAGCTCCCATGCAAATGTGAAAAATTTCAATGCGCTCGCGGGGAAACAGTGTTTCGTTCGTTCGTCGCTTCCGTTCTTCCCGCGTTACGCTTAAAGGCCAGGGGAATCGATATTCCCGCGATCTCCGATAGTGTTGGCTGAAAAAAATATGCAGCCAACTGATCCGACAACTGAAAGTTCGCAAGCGACGCGAGGAAGTCGCCCGAAGAGAGTGCGCCGAAGTATGCCGAAGAGTTCGATCTTCGCGAACAAATAAAACTCCGTGAACTCGCGTCGAGCGACAGCTTGCGGAGCGGTAGTTTCCATCGAAGTACGCTTCCAAGAGAAAAGGGACACCGCCCGTAAAGACGCTGAATTCGGCGCAATAGGCCAGCGAACCAGAGTTACGGAGTCGTAAGATAATACCGTGCGAAATGAGAAAACCGTTTCTCTCCGGATCGCCACAGCGCGGCCTCTTGTGGGCGAAACCCGAAAATTTGAGTATTCAGATAACGAAACTCGAAGGTGACCAATATGTACTAAGCAGTCTCTGCTATACAAAATGATTCCTATTTCAGAAATAACAATTTAGCGTAAATAAATTCCATTTCTCTATTCGTATAACGTTGGAATCGAAACGCAAATAATCCATTGTCACTTAACACTAAAACTGCTGAGCGATCAGAGTAATTTTATTCGACTTTTTATAAAAATTGGAACAAGTTTCTTGAGATTCGAAGGATCTCCTAGTCTCGTATCTATGCAAATACGGACTCCATTGAAAGTCTTTCGCAAAAACGCCTTTATAACTGAAACACTTGCAAAATAAGAATCCTCGGACAGGTTGATTAGACCCTTCGTAGTTTTATTATTAAATAACCTAACAATATCCCCGTAAAGTAACAAAGATATAACCATACGTTCAGCACTGTACCTTTCAACTTCTGTCTAAAGCATTTGTATCTATCACTCACACTTCCTAAGTTATTGACTTTCGTCCAGAAAACGACCGTTTGACCAAACTGTGCACCGTAGGTCGGCGACACGATACGCGAGCGATAAATCGAATCTCCGCGACAATGGCGCAATTTCGAAACTCAAATGAAAGGAACTCGAATTCCTTCGAATCCGGAAAGTTCGGGGAGCAATCACGACGGCCTATAACCGGCTGCGACGGACTGCGACGAACTGCGACGAGTCGCGGGGGTGCGAGCGATCCGGGAAACGGACGTGCTTAACGCTGGCTAGAATATTTCTATGGAAATAAAGCGAACTGAATGGACTTACAAGAACTCTTTGATGTCGCTGTGCCGGTACATGGCATTTCGTCGTGGCGGGCGAGCCAACGTAAGCTACTTTCTCGGAGAGGCAATTCGTACACGTAAATATATACATCTCATTCATCCCCGTTGCAATGAAATTGAATACGTAGTTTCGGCCGCGTCTCTTTCATACGGTCGATTCTCCCTCTCTTTCTCTTTCAGACCGTTGGTATCTTTAAATCTTTCCTCCTCCTTTGCCTAACGTTTCTTCTGTTCCCTTTCAACTTTCTCTGTCTCCTCCATACAGCGGCCCTTTCTTTTCCTCCTATTCCTGTGATACGCTGGTAGTCAGGCTGGCGAGGTAGGCAGACAAGGCAGACAAGGCAGACAAGGCAGCCTGGCTGGCAGGCAGTCAGCCGACCAGCCAGCTCGTGGAACTTCATTTCGTAGAGCAGACGTTCCCCAATTATTATTACGAAGGCACAGTTCCAGCCACCACCTTCAATTATATCTCGTGGAACTAATCCGTAAGTTTCTTTGTTAAATTTCGCGCTCGCAACTGGTAACAGGATTTTAAAAGCATAACTCGGATCCGTGGCTGCCGCCGTACGCAGTCACGCGAACCGAGTTTCCGATGGGAAAGGGACCGAGCAAAACGGCGCGAGTTATAGCTTCTCCGTTACGCCCACGACGGCATTAAGGACCGTCGTTTCTCGCGATTAATACGTGCCCAGTTCACGGACGCGACGGTTCAACTTTCATCTAACGGCGCCGAATTGGGCCGAAGATTTCTCGTAAAACGGCAACCGATCCGTCGGCTCGGAAAACGCGGTGCAATTACGAATCGAAGGAAACGCCCAGCAGACGCGCGGCGGATGCGGACGAGCAACTCCATATTCAACGTTCTTAGAACAACAAGGCGGGCGTCGAGGAGATTTTCAAATCTGCGATGCAAATTGCACCGGCCCTTTTTACTTTCTCAGACGACGGCCGTCCGGCGATTAGCATAGTAGATTAGTAATTTCTTATCATTCCCCTGAATTTTATAATCGGCCGGCGCGCATACACTTGAAAACACGCACACCTTTATCGCGATCGCGCCGAACTGCGCCCGTTTTGTTTACTCGCGAGATGTTTCCACGGCCACGCGATTTATTCGAATCCCTGTAGCTCGAAGTTTATCTTGACAACGAGTCTCACGGAGCCCGAACAATTTTCCGAGTTTACATCGCGCCGAGAATATTATGACGCGGGTTAACGCTGCAAGAAAATCTGGAATTTCACTCGCGCGAATCTCGGCTAATCCGTTCGAGGAACTTCTTCGAAACGCCGTCGTTATTCATTCATCGCGCGCGTCGATGTAAACAGTAACGACGATAATTTGTCGCCAGCTTCGACGGGGCGGTCCAGCGTGTAAAAAGCGACGGCGAAAAACAGGACGATGTTATCTGGTTTCGCATCGATCCGTTGCGTCTTCGGAGAGACGGCGTTAATTAACGGCTGCTACTTAACGATCGGAAGGCCGGTGTATCGTTTACCGGACACGGTACCTACCTTGGTTGTTCCTTTGGTATTTTTGCTCGGCCGTGGATCGGCCGGCTCGATAAGCGTGACTCGGTGAAATGCGTTACGTAAGGGGAAACACGCGAGAGATATGTGTTTCTTGGCTCCGAGCGCGAAGGCAAGTAGATGTTCCCCGGCGAACTTTCACCAGAATACCATTCTCTCCTGCATAGGCGCCTTGCACGATTCTCACGAATATTTGCTACCCACTCCGCTCGGCTACAGGCATATTTACACATTCGATACATTGAATACCCGTGTATTCGTCAAACGCGTTCCCGCGCGACTCTGCAACCTCGATTACATTTAGCCGTACGATACCCGCTCGAACCTCCGGCAATCTTTCCGTTTACCTAATTTCCTTTCACTCCTGTTTCTATTTCCTCGAACGAAATGCGGTTAAAGGTAGCCGCCGGATCATTTTTCCCGCAGCGGAACGCGTTCCGGTTACTCGCACGGTAAACGGGGGAATAAAGTCGCGGCTCGTCGTGTTTCGTCGAGTTGCTCGGCCGAGCAACTGTTCGTCGATGTCCCGGGGTTTATCGACGCGATAATTGAATCTCACGGTGGGTACTTGAAAATGTTTGGAGCTGAAACTCCCGGAGTTTACGCCGGCGAATGGGTACCCTCTGGCCGGTATCTAGTAACAATGCTAATTACCACGGCAAATTACGATTCTGGACTCGAGTTTTACGAGCGTATCGGGTGGCCTGGCTTCATTGGTTCGCTCTCCGCGGAGGGACGGAGCGCGAACGTGTTTGCTCGGCGCGCGAGATGGGGAATAAAAACGATGAATAACATTAACCGGCGCGGTTGGAGATGGGAGTGGAAACAAGCGTCGCTCGTAAACGGAGATTAAACTGACCTAGCTAATAACACCGACGCGGATGGACATTTGAAATTAAAACTGGCCCTCTCCCGTGAACACGCCGGGAATACTTTCTCGCTGAAGGTACCTAGAGATTCTTGCGCAGTCCGCGCGACCGTTCGTCACCTCGTTACGGTAAACCTTTCCACGTCCCCGGGAACAGGAACGTTTAATAAACGTTTCGAGATTCGTCCGAGCGAACACCGAATCGGGACGAATCCAAGGTGCGCAATTCAAGTGCGAATCTTCTTTTCAACGTAATGTATAATTGATGGAGGAATAGGGGACAGGGTCCGATGAAATGGCTCCACGCGGCGGTGTGCGACGCGGTGGTTGCCTTTCCTCCTACGCAAACCTCCCCGCCAATTATTCGGTGAGCAGTTCGAGAAATACCGTTGACCCGGTCCGCGAGACCAGCATTCAAATGAACTCGTTGGGTCCTGGCGTTATTATACGGTTACATTCGTGCCACGATTTCAACCGAGGGAAGAGAGGAAAAAGAACAAAGATCGTACTTCCGTTCGTAAATGATGTCTTCTTTTTAAAGGAGCAGAACTTCCTTCGAGGGAAATTACTTGGCGTTTTAGCGAGTTAAGCAAGCTTCCCCTTCGTTCTCAGCGAATACAGCGCTCACCGACGTAATGCTTCTCGAGTCCCGAGTTTTCGAAAACCTTCACGGGCGATGCGTACACAAAAGCGTTCGACTTCTAAACTCTTTTCTCGCTTCGACTCGAACGATTCGGCTGGAATACGTAATGTATATCGGAAGGAAAGAACGAGCGCGTTCCATACGTTTCACGGGGGCATTCACGGCACGCTACGTTCGAAGCAGAAATTGTTGGCCGCTCGAGATCGCGTCGCGATCGTCTACGCGTCACCGCAAACATCGAGATAATTGTTGCGCAACTAGGATGGAGTAAGCTTCCGCTTCGATCGTGTACCTCGTCAACGATCGACTCGACTTTCTCTTCGTAACGTCGCTCGAGAGGCCAACAATTCGATAAACGTCCGCGTACATACGCGTCACGCGGGATGAACCTAATAACAATGGGCAACCACCTTCTGAAAAGTGAAACGTTGCAGGAAGCAGCGTATTACCGGGAGATTACACTTCCGTATATTACGGACGATGTCCTCCGGAATCTCCTCGGAGCTGGAATTTCCTCAGAGTTTACGGTCTCTGATGAAAGCACGGTGTCTATAGAAGAACGCGGCGAACAGTGCCGCCGCGAATACGAAGAGGAAAAGTAGTCGAAAGATTTTCACGAGCCAGATATTGGTCTGGTCGACGCAATGCTTCCTCGCGGAGGCGGCTGTGCAGAGTACGTAACTCTCGATGTCGATTTCCGTGGCAACCGGAAATGCATCTTGGTCTTCTCGGGTGAGACGCTGCTGCAGCAGATACACGCGATTCCTCTCTGCTGACCACGGCCTCGACGAAATTGACTCAAGGGATCGAAGCGCATTACGAACTCTCTCGTGCTCTCGTAGAAGCCTGCGGAGAAGCAAAGGTTTTTACCGGGACGTCTGATCTCCCTCCAGCCGTCGTCCATCGTCTCCACTCCTCGGCTCGCAGCTAACCTACCACTTGCTCGAAGCTTCCGTTGCTTCGTCACCCTTCGATTCGAATCTATGTACAGTGAACATTGAATAATCGCAATATCGAGACTTCTCCATAATCGCGACATCGTCGTTACTACCGTATCCTCGCCAGGTTCCATCTAACGCACCACAGCTCTCGACGATAGACCAAATTGAAGGGTGTAACACTGATTATCGTCGAACTCAATAATTTATCGTCTTGTTCTTTTCTATTCGCAGTCGTTTTCTATATCCGAAACATCAATCGCTTATTATAGAAACGATTATGATCGTAATCCTGTTTGGTGTCATTTTAATTAGCAAAGCATAAGAAACGTGATAGTGGAAGTTGCATTCATCGAAAGTCAAAAATAAGAAAGTTTGATGCTTCAGTTAAAGGACGCAAACTCATCGCGAGCCTTTAACTCTCAGTCTCTCCGTCATGTTGAAATTGTTTCTTAGGGTGGATCTTTCCGATCCTACCTCTTCGTAATTGCAACTTTCCGAATCCGCTGAGTGTGCAATTATTCAACGTTCACTGCATTCCTTTCCATCGGCTTTAGTTTTATCGCGGACACGTCGTGTTGCGGTTTCCCTTCTGTTGTAACATGTCGCGCGTGCATACTAATTGATCGATTACTTCGTGGTCACCGGCAATTGATCCACTCCACTTTCGAACGTACCAAGGAGCAACCAGCGGAATCAGAAAACTACGTAAATGTCACTAGAAACTACGCGAAGCTCGCGGTTAATGAATTACAAACGCTCCGAAGCTTCCGCTCTCGAGGAATGAAATCTCTTCGACGTCGACTAATTAAAATTTCGTTACATCTTATTAACGCCCCTCCGCCACATTCCTCTTTAAACTTTTTTCCCTGTCTCCCGGTCGACTCTTCGAGGTTGACGAAATAAGACAAGCTTCGCGTCACCGTGCCGATCCGCCCGGGAGGTGCGGCCGAAAGTCGTCGTTATCGATTCGTTCGATCGGTTTTGCGAAAAGTTTCGAACTTCCGATGGTAAATCAATTACGAACGTCGAATTGATGCAGTTGTAACTACCTGTTCGATGAAAACGAAAGGCAAAAGTCGCGAATCGCGCGCCAATATCAAGTTTCCGCAGTTTCCCGGGGAATTGTCCGTTCAAGAATGCCGCGGAGATGAAAGTAGAGACCGCGCGGAGCACTTTCTCGTCCAGCAACGAAGCGGATTTCAACGAGAACGCTGTCAAGATTTTTCGGGAAGTTTCGGCAACCGCCGAACCGCGCTCGCGATTTTTAAAAGCAATCAGAGAACGAATCCGCAAGTTCGCCGGAGGGGAAACGAGTTTGCTTCCGGCTGTTTGTCTTTTCGACCCCCACTTCGACCGTGCGATCTCTTACTCTCGCTGTCTAGTCGAATACCGCGGTGAACCTGTTTACTTTGGTATTCGGCTAAATCGCAGTTCGAAATAACTTTTACTTTCCCACGATTGCACCCCCACCTCCCCTCCCGCGACCGATCGTATCCCACACGCGTCTGCAAAGGTCGCGATCCAGCTTCCCCAAAAACTTTCCTCGATGTTTCTTCCTCCGACAAGTTGTTCCGCCGATTTCCTGCTCGCCGCGACGTTACCTCGACTCGATTCGTTGTTAACACGCCAATCTCTGGTACTTCGATTCACCCCTGGATGGAAATTGCCCGAATATTCCGAATCGAGTGGCATTCTCGATCGTGATTGACGCGGGGCAGCGAAAAGTTCCCCGGAAAACGCGAACGTTCTCGTCCCTTGAACTCGACGGTCGAACGATCTTTCCGTAAATTCCCGTGGAACCGTTTCCCCGTGAGCACGCGAGCGTCAACAGAGCCCTCTCGACCCGGCGACTCAAGAAAATCTCGAATGTCGCGAATTTCCAGTTCGTTATACCTTTTCCTCGCTCCGCAGAGGCCGAGAATCGTGTCGCTAACTGCGGATGGCAACCATTCAAAAAGCAGCACCAGAATCCAGTGCAAGACTGCCGAAGACGTCATACCGCGGAACCCGAAAGTCGGGTATGTAAACTTCCGGTTGCCCTGTCCGCCCTTGTTAATCAGCTCCTTCCACGTGCATCCGATGGGCACCGCGTTATACACCACTGGTCCCTGCACGTTCTTTCTGCGAATAAAAGAGAACAAACTCGTGGGTCGATCGTTGTGCATTCGCGGAACGACGAATCCGTTACGAGGTACCTTCTCAGCATACAAACCGGTTCACCGGGAAATCTAGGGGAACGCAGCGAAACGGCAGTTTATATTTCCGTTATTATTTCGGATGAAATGAATCCCCTAGATTGAATTTCCTCCCCGAATCACCTTATTAGCCGACGGCCAAATCACCTTTTTATCGGGGCAAAGGAAGCGTTTGATTAAGAAATGTCTACGTTCAAAGTCGCCGGGCAAACGAGCCGAACTGCTTCAAGGGGTAAGGCTTTTTTTCATTCGCGAAGGAAATTAAAATGCGATAAAGGCCGCGTCTCGCCGCGCGGATGGAAACGACGGATTCGTTTACGCGCGCAAGCGATGGCGAAACGATGTTCGAGAGAACTCGGAGCGGAAAACCGCCTTAACGCGACTACCGATCGCCACAGCTCAATGCTCGAAACGTGCGCCGGCACTGTTACGTTTTTTCCGATCGCTCAAAAGAGATTTGAATGCTCCCGCGTAACGGGGCCGCGCTCGTTCGCTGCGGACCGTGCTCGCAACACGATTTACGTAAACGATTTACGCTCGCATAAAGTTGCGCGATCGCCGTTAAGGCCGTCCCCTTAATCGTTTCGCGTTGCTCTCGAATCGCTGTCTATTCATTTTTCATTTATCCTCGGTTATACGACCGAGTGTATATACTGCCGCGTGAGCGGTCGCTTTACGTAACCTCTTATCCAACCCGCAACGCGATTGTTATTGCGTTACTTTCTCGCTAGGAATGTTTTGTACTGGTACTTCGAAAACCGTGGCACAGAAGGTGAAGGGGAAAGTTGCGTGCGCCTCGGGCAACGCGCACGTATTAGCCATATTTTCTTCGTCTTCGTCAAGTTTCTCTAGGTTCGGTTGCGCCGAGAGATTACAATGGAACGGGCGACAATAAAAATTCTGCGAATCAAACGATTGATCCTACCGTTCCGCGATCCTCCTCGGGACATACCGTTAACCGACAGTTAGCCTACGCCCAAGAGTTTCCTTATCCTTCTTCTATAAGACAAAAAATCTTTGTTTCAGTCACTCCAAATCGCTGCAGGATCGCTCGCATGCACAGATCCTTATCCTGGAACCATGCGCCTTCGATCTAACTGTTTAGCCGACTGCTCGAATCGAGCAGGTCCTGCTTGCAAGCCTTGGGCGACGTTTAACCCGAATCGCGTCGCTTCGGTCAAGATGGGACGCGTCGAAGAGAACAGAGGATCGGGGCTAGTGGAAGGACAACGGACGAGAGGTTGCGGGATGAAAGGGGCGGAGAAAGGGGAGCGGGAGGGAGAGATAGAAACGGAAAGTACTTACGCGGTGGCTCGTTCCCAAGCAACGGCGATGAGGGTGTTGACCGTCAGGTCGATTGGAATGATTTCCGCTTGAAACTCAGATTCGCCGAGGGCGAGGCCCGCTCCCACCATAAAAGCCGCCGGTCCTTTGAAGTTGCCGACGAAGCCTGGCATGGGCTCGTGGAGCGCGGGGCCGACCAGCGGCACGCGGAGCAGCGCCAACGAGCAGTCCGGCACGCGTTCGTTCTGCAACGCCTCCGCGATCGTCCCCTTGTGACGAAAAATGCAGGAGATCGCGACGAGCGTCTCGAGGCGCGGCAGCTCCTGGCAGAACTCGAACATCGCGTCGTGCGGCCCGGCTGCGTGAAACGCGACGCTCACGTTCTGCAGCAGCTTCCGGTCCTCTTCGCTCATACCCAGCTCATCGGCCATCAGGTTCCCCTCCAAAGCTTTCACGCGAGTAATCGCGTTCGGATCTTCCTGCCGCAGCCTCTCGAACCTGTACCAAATACCGAACGAATCAAAGGAATCGCCGCGACCGTCGGTTTGGACGCCGGCCAGCTCGGAGTCTCGAGTTTGGAACTCTTGCCAAGCGGGACACGCGTAATCGCCGGTGACCGATTCAGCCGACGCGTATCACGCGGCGGAACAATTACTTTGCCGGATTCGCGCGATCCTCGGGACCCGATACTCTGACTCGCGAGCATCCTGGCAAACCATGTGCCGGGGGTGTTTGCAATAACAGTGGTTAAGGTCGCCTCGCTCTCCACGCCCCTAACTGCGGGGTAGACTATTATCGTACCGCTATATACACCGTAACCGTCCGCTTAATCTATCGGTGGCCCGTCGCCGCGAACATCGCCGATTACCATCACAACGGCGAGATCCCTACGTGCTTCCGGACTGTATATCTCGGCATTGTTCTTACGAACTCGCGAGTTTCTTCGGGGCTCGCCCGGCTCTATTTTGATCTCGTGGAAACCGAGACTCGTCCGGGGATTCTCGAGCGACTCGTGAATCAGAGGGAGCGCTGAAATTCATTGAAAATACATGGGAAATGCAGCGAGAACGCGCCGAGGATGCGCCGACGGGGAAAGCCTGCCAATGAGGATAAATTTCGAAAATACTCGGCCCCTCGTAGTCACGGTTGAGTTTTGCCTCGCGTGTCTTGCGATGCAGCCGCCGACGTCGTTACGGTGGACGATCACGTAACGCCGCAATCCAATTTATACGTGTACGCGCGCGTGTGCCCTCGAAGGCATCGCTGGAACGACGTGTTCCGCGCGATACTACTCCTGTAAAACGGATATCGTGCGAATTTGCTTCGGACCCCGAGCGTTTCCGTCATTCGAAATATTTCCACG